GGGGACACTCAGGGACCGGTGGGGACACGCGGGGATTGGAGGGGACACTCAGGGACCAGCAGGGACACTCAGGGACTGGGGGGGACACGTGGGGACTGGGTGTCCCCTCACTGCTTGGGGACAATCCTCCGTCACCGGGGGGCACCGGGTGAGGTACCGGCACTGACGGGGACTCACAGGGACCGGAGGGGACACGCGGGGACAGGAGGGGACACTCAGGGACCGGAGGGGACACTCAGGAACTGAAGGGGTCACACAGGGTCCGGGTGTCCCCTCGCTTCGTGGGGACAATCGCCCGTCACCGGGGGGCACCGGGCGCCCTCGGGGGTGTCACACGGGCGGTCCCGCGGGGACCAGGGACGGAGGGGGACACACACACACACAAGGGTGACACAGCGCGGGGTGCGGGGACACCGCGGCTCCGAGGGGACGTGTCACACACCCCCCCCACACACCCCCGCTGTCCCCTTGTCCCTCTGTCCCCAGCCATGTCCCTGTCCAGCCACTCGGACGCCGAGCGCAGCCCCCGCCCCCCGCAGGGACCCCGCGACCCCCCGGGGGACACGGAGCGGGGAGGGGACACGGAGCGGGGAGGGGACACGGAGCGGGGAGGGGACACGGAGCCCGCCGAGGACAAGGTGTGCGCCGTGTGCGGGGACAGGGCCAACGGGTACCACTTCCACGTGCTGAGCTGCGAGGGCTGCAAGGGCTTCTTCAGGTGGGGAGCACCGGGGGGGGCGCGGGGGGGGGGGGGGGGGGGGGGAGGGCACAAGGGGACAGGGTGGGGTGAGGTGGGGACAAGGTGGGATGGGATGGGACAAGATGCAATGAAATGGGATAGGACAAAGGGACAAGGCAGGATGGGACAAACAGGATGGGAAAGGACAAGATGGGATGGGATGGGATGGGATGGGAAAAAATGGGGTGGGACGAGGGGACATGGTGGGGGAAGTTGGGGGGACAAGCTGGGCGGGGGTGACAGGATGGAAAAGGACACTACGGGGTGGGATGGGTCGGGATGAACTGGGATGGGATGAGAAGGGGTGGCACAGGACAGTCCCACGGACCGGGGGGCTTTGGGTGGCACAAGCCCAGGGTCACCCAGCGGGTCCAGGTGGCAGCGGTGACACCCCCAGCCCCTGCTGGCCCTGTGCCCCCCCGGGGACACATGGTGACAGTGCCAGTGTCCCCCCCCAGACGCTCCATCCTCAAGGGGGTCCGGTACAGCTGCCCCCTGGCCCGGCGCTGCCCCATCACTAAGGCCAAGAGGAGGCAGTGCCAGGCCTGTCGCCTCCAGAAGTGCCTCGACGTGGGCATGAGGAGGGACAGTGAGTGACACGGGGGGACACCCGGGGGGGACAGGGGATGGGGGGACACAGTGGGAGAGAGGGGGGGCATGGGGGGGAAAAGGGGGCCTGGAGGGGACGAGGGGGGGGGGGGGACACAGGGGACAGCTGGGACACGGCACGGGGACAGCGGGGGGTGGCAGAGATGGAGGGACCCAGGAGAGACCCAGGAAGAAGAGGGGTAGTACCCGGGTGGGATAAAGGGGACGAGGAGGGGACAAGGGGGGACCTGGGACAGAGAGAGGAAGGGGGTGACACAGGGGACAGCTGGGAGGAGGGAGGGACACGGGGAACGCCCGGGGGGAAGAGGGAGGACCTGGAGGGAAGGGATAAAGGGGACCTGGAGGGGACAAATGGGGACCCGGCACAGAGAGGAGCGACCTGGGTGAGGTGGCAGGGGAGGGGACAGCAAGGGACAGGGCACAGAGGGGACAGCGGGAGGGTGCGGCAGGGCGGGGACAGTGCGGGCCGGTGTCTCTGGTCGCTGTCGCCGCCGCCCCCGGTGCCCGTGGCGGGGGCGGCGGCGGTGACGGTGTCGCGGGCAGTGATCATGTCGGAGGAGGCGCTGCGGCGGCGGCGGGCGCTGCGGGAACAGCGGGGACAGTCCGGGGGACAGTCCGGGGGACAGCCCGGGGGACAGCCCGGGGGACAGCCCGAGGGGCTCACGGCCGAGCAGCAGGAGCTCATCGACCTCCTCATCGCCGCCCACCAGCGAACCTTCGACTCCAGCTTCTCCCAGTTCGCCCACTACTGGGTGAGTGGGGGGCTCCCGGGACCCCACTGCGCCCACGGGTGACCCCACTGCACCCACGGGGGGCCACAGACGACCCCACTGTCCCCAAGGGGGCCCTGCCCATCCCGGTGGGTGACCCAGCTGTGCCCTTGGGTACCCTGGGGTCCCCAGGGGTGTCCTGACTGTCCCCATGGGTGCCTTGGAGTCCCTGTGGGTGTCCTGACTGTCCCCATGGGTAACCCAGTTGTCCCCATGGGTGACCCAACTGTCCCACGGGTGCACCCCAACTGTCCCCATGCGCACCCCAACTGTCCCCATGGGTGCCCCAACTGTCCCCATGTGCACCCTGACTGTCCCCATGTGCACCCCAAATGTCCCCACGTGCACCCCAAATGTCCCCACGTGCACCCAGACTGTCCCACGGGTGCCCCAAATGTCCCCATGTGCACCCCAAATGTCCCCACGTGCACCCTGACTGTCCCATGGGTGCCCCAACTGTCCCCATGTGCACCCCAACTGTCCCCACGGGTGCCCCAAATGCCCCCACGTGCACCCTGACTGTCCCATGGGTGCCCCAAATGTCCCCACGTGCACCCCAAATGTCCCCACGTGCCCCCTGACTGTCCCAAGGGCGCCCCCCCACCCTGACTGTCCCCCTGTCCCCCCAGCCCGCCGTGCGTCTGTACATCCCCAGCCCCCCCAGGCCGGGGGTGGCCGCGGGGGGGTCCCCCTCTCCTCTGCCACCCCCCACCGAGGACGTGCTGCCCGACGTGTTCTCGATGCTGCCCCACTTCGCCGACATGAGCACCTTCATGATCCAGCAGGTCATCAAGTTCGCCAAGGAGATCCCCGTCTTCAGGTGGGGTGGGTGCGTTTGGGGGGGCACCCACGGGGCTGGGACCATCCTGTGCCACCCCGGTGACGTCCCCTCGTGCCCCCCCACCCCCAGGAGTTTGCCCGTAGACACCCAGATCTCGCTGCTGAAAGGGGCCACGCTGCAGATCTGCCAGATCCGCTTCAACACCGTCTTCAACGCCAACACCAAGGTGTGGGAGTGCGGCCAGCACTGCTACACCATCCGCGACGGGGCACTGGGTACGGACCTCGGGGATGCCTGGGGGGCGTGGGGACGGCCCTGTGCCCCTCCCGGGTCACCCTGTCACCCCCCTGTCACCCCCCCAAAGCCGGGTTCCAGCAGGTCTACCTGGAGCCGCTGCTCAAGTTCCACGAGAGCCTGAGGCAGCTGCACCTGCACGACGCCGAGTACGCCCTGCTCCAGGCCCTGCTGCTCTTCTCCCCAGGTGGGTGCCACACTAGGGGGGCACGGGGGGATGGCTGGGTGTCCCCAGGGCCCCGCTGATGTCCCCTCACCCCCCCCCCCCCAGGCCACGCCGACATCGCCCAGCGCGACCTCATCGACCAGTTCCAGGAGAAGGTGGCCCTGACCCTCAAGAGCTACATCGACCACCGGCACCCCGAGGGCAGGTGGGTGCCCAGAGGGGGGTGGCAGCATCCCCAGGGTGGCAGGGACAGCCACCAGGCGTGTCCCTTACCCCCCCTTCCCCAGGTTCCTGTACCCGAAGCTGCTGCTGCTGCTGACGGAGCTGCAGACGCTGAAGGTGGAGAACACGCGGCAGATCCTGCACATCCACGACCTGTCCTCCATGACCCCCCTGCTCTCCGAGATCATCAGCTGACCCCCTGCCAGGGTGGTACCCCCCCCTCGGGCCCCAAGTGCCACCACGGGGGACAGAGTAAAGCTCCTTTATTCAGCCAGGCCCCTCCGGAGCCAGCCCGTGTGTCACCTGGGGGGGGGGGAACTGAGGCACGGCCGGGTGGCACCGTGGGGACAACGGGGACCCCCGGTCCCTCCCCGGGGACCCGTGGCAGCAGCCACCCCCACGGGGTGGCACCGGGGACAACAGGCTCCCCCCCTGTGCTGTCACACGGTGTCCCCAAGGCCGTGGTGGCCCTGTGGCCCCCCCAGGGCCAGGCCCGGCGGCTCCCTGAGCAGGACAGTGCCCCCCATGCCCCCCGTGCCCCCCGTGCCCTCAGCCCACGGTGACGCTGAAGCCGCAGTGGAACCGGTTCCTCCAGTGGTTCAGGAAGGCGCCCAGGGCCAGCGTGACGGGCAAGGGGGGCAACTTCTTCTCCAGCACCCCCCCCACGCTCCAATTGCTGTCCAGGAGCCCTGAGGGGGGGGGGGACAAGGGGAGGAGGGGGCTGAGCGCCAGGAGAGGGGGGCACAGGGTGGGTGCCATCCAGGGTAGGGGGGGCCTCGCCCACCTCTGAAGACGACGTTGGCGCGGGGCAGGTTGAGCTGGTACCCGAAGGCGAAGGTCGTCTCCTGCAGCCGCGTGTTGGCCTCCAGCTCCACCCCGACCTGTACCTGGGTGAGGGAGGGGGGGCACAGAGGTCAGGGAGGGCACGGGGACACCGTGGGGACACCGTGGGGGGCACCCACCTGCTCGTTGGCCCGGTGGTAGTAGCTGGCGTGGGCCCCCCCGTAGCCCACGTTGAGCGTCGTCACCCACTTAGGGGCTGCAACAGAGACAGACAGCACGAGATGGGGGGGGACACAGGAGTGCTGGGGCGCCCCCAAATTTGTAGGGGGGGGTGGCATCCCCCCCCCGGGGTGCCCCCTTACCCGTGTATTTGCCCGCCAGCGTGAGGATGGCCCCCTCCTCGCCGGGGCGCCGGTGGTACACGAGCTCCCCCCCCAGCACCAGGCGGGCGGTGACGCTCTGCAGGAAATGGGCCACCACGATCACTGCGGGGACAGCACGGGGGACGGCCCGGGCTCAGCGTGGCGGGGAGGGGGGGGGCCACGGGGGGGGCTATGGAGGAAGGTGAGGGGGGGGGAAGCCCCTCCCAGCTCACCGGAGCCGCCCAGCAGGTCGGGGTTGCCCAGCGTGAGCGTGGCCGTGCAGTCGTCGCCGCGGTACTCGCCGTCGAACTGCCACGTCACGAACTTGGCCTGGTGGCTCTGCGGGGGCACAGGGGACACCGGGGGGGGGTGGGGGATGTTGCTAGAGACCCCCCCAAGCTCGGGTGTGACCCCCCTCCCCCCCACCCTGCCCAGGCTCACCTGGAACACGGCCTTGACCCGCAGCCGCTCTCCAAGCAGGTGAAGGGCCTGCGCGTTGAGGCTCCCGGCGCTGTCCATGTCCCCAACCAGGGTGGGGAACACCTTGGGGACACCACGGGGGAAGGGGGGGGTCAGGGGGGACGGGGACACCCCCTCCCTGCCCTGGCTGGGAGTGCTGGGATGGGAGGGAACGTCCCCATCCGGGCTGGTGGCACCTCAGTGTTACCCAAACGCTCCCGTTGTGGGGCGTCACCGTCACCGCGAGGTCGCCGATGACCCCAAGGCCACCAACCACCCTGGGGTCACCTGGGGCCACCCAGAGCCCCAGGGCCACCAATGGTCTGAGGCCACCAACCCCCTCGGGGTCACCTGCGACCACCCACAACCCCAGGGCCACCAATGACCCCGAGGCCACCAATGATCCGAGGCCACCAACCACCCTGGGGTCACCTGCCACCCGAGGGCCACCCGGGACCACCCAGAACCCCAGGGCCACCAGTGACCCCAAGGCCACCGACCACCCTGGGGTCACTCACCATTCTGAGGTCACCAATGACCCCAAGGCCACCAATGACCCCAAGGCCACTGGCCACCCTGGGGTCACTCACCACCCTGAGACCACCCAGAGCCACCCTGAGACCACTCGCCACCCCAGGACCACCCGTCACCCAAGACTCCCAGGGTATGGGGTCACCAACTACCCCGGGGTCACCTGGGGCCACCCCAAGCCATCAAGGACCCCGGTGCCACCCCAGTGCCACCCGCGTTGTCACCTCGGTGGGGCTGAGCTGCCGGTCCCCCACGAAGGTGGCATTGAAGCGGTACCCAGAGGGGCCCAGGGTGCTCATGTGCACTGTGTGTGTCACCTGTGGGGACAGGGGGGGTCAGGGGACAGCCCGGGGGGGGGGTCACAGCCCCCCTCCACAGCCCCTGTGTCCCCCACCCTGACCTGGAAGTGGCTGCTCAGGGTCTTGGTGACGATCAGCTTCACTCCCTCCATCTGTGGCGGGAACACCTCTGGGGGGACAGGGCCGTCACCTCCCTGGGGACAGGGCTGTCACCCCCCCAGGGCACGGCTGTCACCCCCCAGGGCACCTACAGCCCCCCCTGAAAGGGCTGTCACCTCCTGGGGACACCCAGAGCCCCCCCTGGGGACACCACAGTCCCCCTTGGGACACAGCTGCCACCCCTCGGTATCCCCCACACCCTGGTGTCCCCCAGTACCTCCCGCGACCCCAGTGTCCCCTCAGCCTCAGTGTCACCCCCTCCCTGGTGTCCCCATAGTCCTGGTGCCTCCC